AGTTTATAGTTATTCTCGTTTTCCCCAAATAGAATTTGATAAAAACTGAAACCTCCCATGCCTTGTTAATCCCGACAGATAGCTTGGTACGGGACGCAGTGTAGGCACTCAAATGCTTGCTGAGAGAATAAATGGATTGGTTGGGGGCCCCGGGGGGGATGTACATTTGTTATATATTTCATATATCTAAGCATATTTATTTATGTAAATGTATGTGGTCATCTTCCTGGGGCCACCAACGAAATACATATGTAAGGCAAATAAGACTTGGCGAGAAAAGAGGGCTAGGGGAGACTAGCCAGAAAGGGAGAAATGGGCATAGGCAACTGCTTAGGGAGTGGAAATTTGACGGAAGAGAGCTGTTTTAAAGGAACTTTTTTTTAGGAACTTTTGCTGTGTCATGTACAATGTAATTCTCTCTAATTTCATTCCTCTTGGGATTAGATTTGTTGGTGTTTTGGACACAACAATGATGTGTAAGACAGGCCTCAAGGTGAGAGCAAGGTGAGACTGGGAGGTCCAATTACACTTTTGAGGGAGATGGACATAAACAGGAACAATGCAAAATGGATTGTAAGAGGAGCCCAAATCAATGAAGATCATAGAAGTGATTGCAGTAATGGGGTTTGTGGGAAGGATGGCACCTTGAGCTAGACTCCAAAGACTACAGATTTGGGGAAAAAATAATAGTAATAATAAGAGTAGTTCACTTCTGTTGTGTAATTTGTATAAACCGGCAATTGTGCCAAACACTTGGTCTACGTTATTTAATCCTCACAATGACCCTGTGAGATAGGTACTGTTATTCACCCCCTTTAACAAATAAGGAAATAGACTCTGGAAGATGAAGTTGTCCAAGGCAACTCGGCTAGAAAGAGGAGGACTCAAGATTAAAACCCGTCTAGTCTAGATTGACTCCAGAAACCACATTATTAACCATTCAAGAAGGGGAAATAATAATTACCATTTATTGGGCTAGAGCACTGTGCTAAGTGCTTTACAAGCCTGTGAGACTGGAATTATTGCCTCCATTTTACATATTGGAAAACCGAGGCTCCCAAAGGTAAACAAGAGCTGGGGTTTAAACCCAGGCAGGTCTTACTCCAAGGCCAGTGGCCTGGGACACACCATGAAAGCTCGTCCAGGCTCTGGGGCTCTGCTTCCCTGGCTGAGGTTGTGCCCTGGCTGATGAGATCACAGGCAGGGAGATGATTAATGAAGGTTTTCCTGTGGGCCTAGTGCCAAGACAAAGCAGTCTACTGCAATAGGAAAAAATAAATAAAGGCTGTAGCTCTTATCCCTCCCTCCTGGCGGAGGCTCTAGGAAACTCACTGAGTCACCTAGTGGCAGGCCAGGCCCTCAGAAAATATTGGTGTTATCATCCAGGCCACCGCCCCTCTCACCCAACTGGACCCAGAACTAGTATTTGTCAGGACTGGTGTGTTGGCCCCATCTTAACGAATGGGCTTTGCTTGACAGGTTCTCAGAGGTGTCAAAGGCCCTGCACAGATCTCCTTCCTCCCTATTCTTTGGGCTTTCTCCTTGGGAGGCAGGTCTGGCATGGGGGTGCGGGGGGAAGTGGCAGAACAAGTAACAGTGAGCTTGCTTTGCCGTAACCTCGGCCTCCAATATGCCCATCTAGGGAGAAATAAAGTGGAAGTGAAGACCACAAACCAGAGACCAAACCAATTGCTGTCAAGTCAATTCTGACTCATGGCAACCCCATGTGTGCGGGGTAGAACACTCCATAGGGTTTTCAAGGCTGTGACCTTTCGAAAGCAGATCAGCAGGCCTTTCTTCTGAGGCCCCTCTAGGTGAGTTCAAACCACCAACCTTTTGGTTAGTAGTCAAGCACTTAACCATTTGTGCCACCCAGGGCCCTTTCTGAAGACTGAAGGCACCCTCAGAGGGGAACAGAAGTTACAAAATCAGTCTTGAAGGTAGAAAAGGTGAGTGAGGGCTGCCCCACCCTTTTGCCTTCATAAACCATTATGGGTTTCAGAACAAGCCTTTCTTGGCTCAAGCCAATGTCACAGTCCCTCAGAGCATGCCTAAACACCCCAACATCTTCCCTGCCACAAGCTCTGAGACACACAAAACAGAGGCCAGTTTCCACCATTGAGGGGGCAGGGGGATTTGACTAGCTGCCTTAGGAGCCATCTCATTATGAGCCTATATTCTAGCTAATGAGGATGATGGACTTTGGCTACATCACACACTCACGAAGTAAGAAGCCCACTATGAAAACTCTGAGGAGATGGGGTGCATTTATCTCTCTATAGATTCAGGTGAGCCAGACACCTCAACATTATCAAAGGCTTGATTCAGCCAAATCTCTCTGTATTCCTTTGACCACTATTTCCTGCTAAGTATAAAGAATTTTCAGCCCTCAGCTCGGGATATAGGTCAGGCTAGGCAGGGGACCCCCAATGGCTAGCGGGTTGCTAATGGCCTGCTGGATATGTCCACCTAAATGTCCCACCACCACCTCTAGCTCTACATGTCTAAAACCTGAACTGATCCTCCTTTTGCCGCACCCAGAATTCCCAAAACGATTTTCATGTTTCTGCCAATGGTGTCATTGTTCTCCTAGAAACCGAGGCATTCAGCCTTTGTCAGATCACTCTTAATTATCCCCTTTCCCAGCGTGCATTCACTTATGTGGTCACCAAATTAACCCGGGCATTTCCCAGTCTTTTGCCCCTGGAGCTCCCCACTCCAAAGTCTCCCATTTCTCTCTCTCCCTCCGCAGACTTCTCTCCCTCAAATTTCTTCTTGGTCCAATCCAGCAGTCTACACACAACTATCAGAATAATCTTTCTAAAATCCTACTTTGTACAGAGCATCATTCCTGTCTCCAAGCTTGCTCTGGTGATCTACTGCCTTTGTGATAAAGTACAGACTACATAGTCTGGCCTTCAAGGCCCTCTCAAAGCGACTCCAACTCACTTCTACAGTCTACATGCTGTAGTTCACCTATGTAAGTCCAACCAGGCTCATAGCAAACACTCGCTTAATATGCCTTAATGAAAAGGAAAGGATGAGCAAATGGTTTAGTGGCTATACCTCCAACTGCAAGACTGACAGCACTTTCCAGAGAATACCCCAAATCCTGAAAAAAATCACCATCTACAGATGAGATTTTCACTGGTATGAAAGGCTGAACTTGGGTGATGCTAGGTTACAAAGGGACTGGGATTAGGGTCACGGGCAATTATGACTTTTCTATAGCCCAAACTTTAAACCCAATTTACAGCATTAGAATCCTACAATTCCCAAAGCAACATATTTTGCTTGTGTAATAAAAACCAATCATAACAGCTATTTTTTAATTCTAAAAAAGTATATACTTTGACCTCAACATGACGAAAAAGTGGTTTTATAGAGAAAAGAAAGTCTTGGATTCATCACCCTTGAGTTTAGGCACCGTTCTAAAGCTTTGGGAATTTAAGCATAGCTAGAAAATGTGCACACACATCCCACCATGAAACTTATATTCTAATAGGGAAGACAGACAATAAGCAAATAAACAAATTTATTTCTGCCTGGACATAATAAGTGCTATGAAGGAAAATAACCAGGGTAAGAGGATAAAGTGTGGCAGGGGCTATCTCTGGATGAAAATAGCACTGATGTTCATGGGTGTGTATATATATATATATATATACACACACCTATATATAGAGAGAGATTTATCTCAAGGAAATGGCTCACATAGGCCGTAGAGGCTGGCAAGTCCCAAGTCCATGGGTCAGATGTCAGGCTGGAGGTGTATCCTGACTCACATAGCTGCAGGGGCTGATGACCCAAACATTGGCAAGTAAGATGGCAGGCTGCTGGCTCACAGGCTGCAGATGCTAATGAATGCCAACACTGGCAGGCAATATGGCAGGCAGCTGGCTCAAATCCCAAGAACTGAAGGGCAGATGATGACGAGCTGGAATCAGGATCCGGGGCAAGCAAGCGAGATTTGCCAGAACGTCCACATATATACATTGGATGCAAGCCACACCCTCAAGGAAACTCCCCTTACAACTGATTGTCTGATCGCATCGGATCACATCATGGAGGATGACTACATCATTACATAACTGCCTAACCATTGAGAATCATGGCCCAGCCAAGTTGACACACAACCTTAGCCATCACAATAGGGTTCTTTTCCTCCATAAAGTTGTTAAGGGACTTAAAATAAAAGTCTATTATATAAAATGCAACAGAAAAACAAAATTAAGTAAGAACATAAAAATATGTGCAGATGTCTTAAATAGAGATGTTTATGTTATTTTCCACATAATGCCTGGCATAGAGTGGGTGCTCAATAAATATTTGTTGAATGAATAACTTGCTCAGGGGTCTCCTTCAGGGAACAGAATGCCACAGCCTTCAACCAGACAATAAATTATCCCTTCCAAGATAAGGAGGAGACCCTGGGTGGTGCGAATAGTTAATGCAATCAGCTGCTAAGTGAAAGGTTGGAGATTCACGTCTACCCAGAGGCACCTCAGAAGAAAGGCCTGGTGATCTACTTCTGAAAAATCAGCTGTTGAAAATCCTGTGGAGGACAGTTCTACTCTGACATACATTGGAGTCACCATGAGTCAGAATCAACTCCATGGCAACTGTTTTTTTTTTTTTGTTTGTTTGTTTGTTTTTTCCCCAAGATAAGGAATGGTAACCAGTTCATGCCTGATTAAAAAATATCTATGTCCGGCTGGTTCCTGACGCTTGGCCCAGACAGCCATAAATAGTCCAGCCTGGGAATCCCTGTACCACCTAAAACGGAAAAGAGAATTCCATTTGTTGTCTTTACTGCATCCTCAGTAACTTCTTAAGCAAATGGCACGTACCGATTATACAAAGCAGCCCTGCCTCCTAAACCTAGGCTCTTCCATCAGAATTGTCCCCTAAATTTCAAACTCCAGTTGGCTGTTAAGTCAACAGAAAAGCAGGAATTGGGTGGAGATATTTTTGTTCCAAACCTCCTTCCCATTCCTTACCTTTCCATTGTGTCTGTCTGAGAATGCAGTCTGCTCCCGGCCTCAGGACCCCTTGCCAGCAAGGAGCTTTCCCCCTTCGCAGGCCCCCAGGTGTAGCTTGCTGAAAGGGGGCTCTTGAAGATAAGAAAGATGAGGACAACGTAGGTTGTTGCTATCACAGGACTTCTCCTGCCCTGGTTGCTGGTCCTGGAAGGAAAGAGCGCTTGTCTTTATCCAGGAGGGTAAACTGAGGTAGCGAGAGTCTCTGCTTAGCCTTTTTTCTCTTATTGTTGGAAACTGAAATCCTGCCATGTTCCCATGAATCTCTCGGAGTCAGCATATTGACCATATGTACTCAGCTTAAACATCTGCTCGTCTATGAATTTAGGTAAGCTATGAAATATTGCGTATGCCAGAGAATCCAAATGGATGGACGTTGTTGTTGTTAGCACCTGTTGAGTTGGTTCCCAGCTCGTGGCAACCACACACACAATGGACTCGCTGCGGATCGGACCATTGTGATTCATAAGTTTTTTACTGGCAAGTTTTCAGAAGTAGATTGTCAGGCCTTTCTTCCTAGTCCATCTTAGTCTGGAAGCTCCATCATAGCAACACGCAAGCCTCCACTGACAGATGGGTGGTGGCTGCACATAAGGTGCGCTGGCTGGGGTCGGGTCTCCCACAAGAAAGGTAAGAGTTCTACCACTGAACCACCCTGCCTCCATTTCCATGAATCTCGTGGAGCGTGTCCTGATTTCCTCCCTGGAAACCTATCTGAACTGTGGAGTACCTCCCATTCTGGAACCACCTGCGGCCTCGTGGGCTTCCTGGTTTCGGAACCTCTGCTCTTCCAAGCTTCAGTCTTCACTGTCAGCCCTGGCTCCTATCTCGGCCCATTGCCTACATCCCAGAGTGACTGTTGCCTCCACAGAAAAGAATTGCTGATTTGGTTGACACCTGGCAACCCCAAGGGCTGTTGACATCACACCTACATAAACAATGTGACTGTATCTAGAGAAAAAGGTTATCTGTTCTCATACCTTTACGCAAACAAGATGGTACCTATTTTACCTACTCCCATATCAGACCAATGAAATGACAATGCTTAAAAGAAATGGAGTGTTGCTTACCGAACTGAGCTGATTTTATCAGGCAATTCAGCCAAATTCCCATTACCAGATAAATCAATGAGTCAAAGTTATCAGGATTAAAAGGTAATGTATTCAGCCATTTACCAAATATTTGTTGAGTTCCTGGCGCTATTCTAGGCCCCAGGTATAGAGCAATTAACAAAAGAAGCTAAGTCCCTTCCTTTCTGGAGCTTACAGAAAAGGGAAACAGAAAATAAAGAAACATATTAATATGTCAGGCAGTGATAAGTACCAAGGAGAAAAAAATTAGCCAGGTCTTTTCAATATTTACATTTACAGGAGCGTTTAGGGCAGCAGCCATGACTTATATATCTATAGCCTCAGCACCAGGCATGTAGTAGGTGCTTAACATTTGTTGAATGAATAACAAATTTTCAATGAATGTTTTTAAGCTCTGAATCACTTTCTTTGCTCCTCTCTGCTGCTGCTGTTTCCCCCCTTTTTCTTTCACCAAAGCACTTTTTAAGTTTAGAACTCTGATAAAGAACTCCCCCATTTCAAAAAAATGATCACTGAAAACAATTGACGAAATATAAAAATACTGGTGGCTAACAAACACAAGTAGAAACAATCGAGATTGGAAGATAGATGAAGTGGAATTATACAATAGTCACACGCTATGAGTCGGAATCAACTCAACGGCAACGAGTAACAAACATACGAATCATAATCCACCTTGCTCCCAATCAAAAACATTCAAAATAGAACAGCAAAGCGTCCATATTTCATCCGACACATTTGTGAGATTTTAAAGCATTAGACTACAAAGTGCAAACAAGAGCAGATGGAAACCAGCACTCTTGTGTACAGTGCTCTTGGTGTCGGTCTTCCTGGTAGGTAGTTTAGGGTTGTGTATCAAAAACCTGAAAAATGTACAACTCCTTTGATCCAGGATCTCCACTTCTAGGAATTTACCTAAAGAGAAGCATTACTACAGATCTTTACGGATATCATTTGCAAAGAATTTTTAAAAGCTGTTCATCATAAAGATCTTCATCAAAGCTTGTTTAGCAAAATGTAGAAACAACCGAGATCAGAAGATTAAGTGGAATTATGCTATAGTCACATAATATAATAGTATGCAATTGTTAAAACATATTACAGAAGGATTTTAACAAGGAAAGATGTTTATAATATGCAGCTAAGTGAATAAAGACGTTAACTCAACAATATGTATAATATGATCCTGTTTTTGTAAAATAGAAAAACATACAGGCATTACACATAGAAAAAACTCTGGAAAGACAGACCAAAATGTTAACCGTGGTCATCTCTGGCAGATGAGGTCACAGGGAGTTTTCTCTAATCTGTTCTTCCTGTTTTTTTTTTTTTAACCAAAAAATGTATTAAGTGTATAATTAGAAAGACATTTAAAAAAAAAAAAAAAAGAACACATTTAGCAATTTAAAAAAAAATGCACCAACAAGCCAGGAAAAGACATGGAGGAACCTTAAATGAAAATTGCTAAGTGAAAGAAGCCAGTCTGAAAAGGCTACATACTGTATGATTCCAACTCTATGACGTTCTGGGAAAGGCAAAACTATGGAGAAAGTAAAAAGATCAGTGGTTGCCAGGGGCTTGGGGGAGAGAGGGAGGGCTGCATAGGTGGAGAAGAAGGGATTTTTAGGACAGTGAAAGTATGCTGTATGATACTTTAATGGTGGATACATGACGTTATACATTATACATTTCTCAAAAAGCATAGAGCTGTCCCTGGGTGGTGCAAATGGTTAAACACTGGATTCTTAACCAAACGGTTGGCTGTTCAAACCCACCCAGAGGAGCCTGGAAAGTAAGGCCTGGTGATCTGCTTCTGAAAGGTCACAGCCTTGAAAATCTTACGAAGTGTCATTCTACTCCGCACATTTGAGGTCGCCGTGAATCAGAATCAGCTTGACTGTAACTAACAACAGCATAGAACTGTACAACACAAAGAGTGAACCCTAACGTAAACTCTGGAGTTTAGTTAATAATAATATATTAATATTCATTCATCAATGGTAACAAATGTACTACACTGATGCAAGATGTCAATAATGGGGAAACTGTGTGTGGGGTGGGAGGGAGGTATATGAGAACGCTATACTTTTTTTTTTAAATTTTTTATTGTGCTTTAGGTGAAAGTTTACAGAGCAAATCAGTGTCCCATTCGATACTTTGTACATAAAGTGTTCCATGGCATTGGCTGCATTCCCCACAATTTGTCAGCACTCTCCCCATTCCTGCCCTGGTTTCCCGCTTTCCTTTCATCTGGATTTTCTACCCCTTCCTGCCTTCTCATCTTTGCTTTTGGGCAACTGTTGTCCTTTTGACTTATATAATTGATTGTTCTAAGGAACATGTTCCTCTCGGATGTTATTGTTTATTTCATGGGCCTGTCTATGGTTTGGCTGAAAGGTGTTCTGTGGGAATGGCTTCAGTTCCAGGTTAGAACGGTTTCTTAGGGCCATAGTCTCGGGGGTTCCACCAGTCTCTGTCAAACCAATAAGTCTGGCCTTTTTTGTGAATTTGGCTTTTTGTTCTACATTTTTCTCCTGCTCTGTCTGGGACCCTCTGCTGTGATCCCAGGTAGAGCAGTCAGTAGTGGTAGCTGGGCACCATCTAGTTCTTCTGCTCTAGGGGCCATGTAGACTGTGGTCATATAGTCTGTTAGTCCTTTGGACTAACTGCTCCTTTGAATCTTTGGTTTTCTTCACTCTCCATTTCTCTGGAGAGGAAGAGACCAATAGTTGTATCTTAGATGGCCACTTGCAAGCTTTTAAAACCCCAGACACTACTCACCAAAGTAGGATGCAGTACACTGTCTTTAGGAATTATGTTGTGCCAATTGATACAGATGTCCCCCTTCAACGTATGGTCCTTCACTTTCTAGCCTAGGAAAGTTGTCCCGCAAGGTGTTTGCTTATGTCTAAGAAGTTTCCATGACTGTGCCCCTTGTGTGCTCTATTGTCTATATTAATATACATGCAGCACCTACAATTATGTATGTAGGAATATCCACGACCAAACCTATACACGCAAGTGGGTGTGCTCCCTTACACCTGCCCATACCTCTTTAGCATACCTATCTACCTATGTATCCATTCATAGATTATTGTTTGTTGATACTATTGTTGCAGGATTGTCTCTGTTATAGTAATCACTGTGTTGTTGTTATGTGCCATCAAGTTGGTTCCAACTCATAGTGACACTATAGGACAGAGTAGAACTGCCCCTATAGGGTTTCCAAGGAGTGGCTGGTGAATTCGAACTGTTGACCTTTTGGTTAGCAGCCCAGCTCTTAACCATTGTGCCACCAGGGCTCCAGTAATTACCGTAGCTGCCCTTCATTCTTGCATTCCTCTCAGTGTCTTCCTTTGCCTTGGTCATGTTGTGCTGACTTCCCCAATATAAATACGTGTCTTCTATCTAGTTAGTAATTTTTCCTCCCTCCCCTCCCATACCTGGTAACCATCAAATAATTTTTTTTTCTGTACGTAAATCTTTTCTTGTTTTTTTTTTTTTTAAATAATAGTGGTCTCATACAATATTTGTCCTTTTGTGATTGACTTATTTCACTCAGCATAATGTCCTCCAAATTCATCCATGTTATGAGATATTTCTCGCATTCATCATTATTCTTTATTGTTGCATAGTATTCCATTGTGTGTATGTACCACAGTTTGTTAATCCATTCGTCTGTTAAGGGGCACTTAGGTTGTTTCTATCTTTTAGCTGTTGTGAATAATGCTACAATGAACATGGGTGTGCATATATCTATTCGTGTCACAGCTCTTGTTTCTTTAGGGTGTATATCTAGGAGTGGGATTGCTGGATCATATGGTATTTCTATTTCTAGCTTTTTAAGGACTCTATACTTCAGGCTCAATTTTTCTGTAAACCTAAAACTGCTCTAAAAAAATATCTATTGATTTTTTTAACATGTACAATTCTTTTTTTATGGAACATTTTATTATTGTTTAGGTGAAAGTTTACAGAGCAAATTAGTTTCCCATTCAACAATTTATACACAACTTGTTTCAAGTCTATAAATAAATAAGGATGCACCCAAACCAAATAAAGCAAGATAATTTCCTCAAAATTCTTTGTAAATGATAGAAAATATTTCCTAAGCCTATGGCTTTAGGAAGGATCCCTGGTGGCGCAATGGTTAAGCGCTCGACTGCTAAAGGAAAGGTCTCACCAGCAGCACCTCAAGAGAAAAGAACTGGTGATCTGCTCCTGTAAAGATTACAGCCTGAGACAGGTGTAGCAAGGGTAAAAAGCACCCAGGGGCAATCTCTAAGTTTGGGCCCCCCCCATCAACAGGGGTGGTGTGTGATTCAATGGCCTCCACCAGGAGGGAGGAGGTGACTCACTGGCCAGCCTCCTCTGGTGCCTCCTTGCTCTCTAACTGCCCCCCCCACTACCCGTCTGGCCTAGGAAAGCCTATGGGTAGTTCTACTCTGTCATATAGGGTCGACAGCATGCAACAACGGCTTTAGGATCTTTTTAAAATCCAGCCTTTCAGTCAAGTCACTCCAGTAGATACAAGAGTCACCTGGGTACTCTGATGTGGGTAAGCTTCAAGAAGAGTGTTCCCAGTTCTGTGGCACAGATCATAGGAATGAATGCCTTCTGCTATGACTCCCTAATTAGACCAAGCTGATGTTATATATAATTCCCTCCTGTAAACATATATACTAGCTCAGCAGATGAAAAGTGTCCACCCTACAATCTTTTCAACTTGTATCTGCTAGACAGCTATTCACTGACAACATAGTGGTTTGGGGGACTTTGAACGGTAGAATTACCTGGAACTTCAATTTTAGCTAATCTGGAATATAAGGATTGCATCTCTGTAGGTCACTTGTGTAGTGGCAGTTGTCTCAATACGAGGGGAATGACACCCCACCCATTTATAATTACAAACTAATATGGTGAAATGACAGTCCATGGGATCTCGGAGGATATGTCACACCAATTTTCGTCAATTCCCATGTGGTACAACACTGGTGTTGACATACACTTTTTAAAATTAAAACGAGGGTTTTGTGGCCTTTACATGGAAAACATTTTCCGCTCAAAAGTAGGAGATTCAGCTTTCTTCAGGAGCGCGCATTGTACAGAGGCCAATTTTGACTTACAAACTCTGAACTGCAGAAATGAAACATCCAGGTTGCATGTTAATCATATTATAAGTGTCCCTTCCGTGAAAAGAAAGTAAGCGTAACTATCCTTTGAAGGGGAGCTGGACCAGCAGAAGAGAAGACACTAACTTAAGTGCTGGGGACCTGCTAAGGGGGTGCAGGGAGGCCAGTCTCTAAGTATAGCTGTTTAACAATTTTCTGAAGGTCATATGTTAACTCTGATGAAAAAACAGCAGAGACATGACATTCTGGAAAAGCAAAACTATAGAGACAGTAAAAAGATCAGTGGATGCCAGAGGTTCAAAGGAGAGAGGGAGGGATGAACAGGTGGAGCACAGGGCATTTTAAGGGCAGTGAAACTATTCTGCATGATACTGTAGTGGTGGACAAATGGCGTTAGGCATTTGTCGAAAGCCTAGATCTGTACAACACTGAGTGAACGCAAATGTAAACTATGGACTTTAGTTAACAGTAATGTATCAATATTAGTTCATCAGTTGTAACAAGTGTTCCAAATGAATGTGAGGTGTTAATAATAGGAGAAACTGTGTGCAGGGGGGCAAGGTGTTCTATGGAGCTCTCTGTATTTTCTGTGCAATTTTCCTGTACACTTAAAGCTTCTCTAAAAAAATAAAGTATATATATATATATATACACACACACACACAAATTAGTGCACAAAAAAATGGCAAAGAATATTTTCAGCCAAAAATTTTTAAGTCACTATCTATATATTTTAGTAACGTTCTTTAGAAGCATAGTGACAGATGACATTTAAATTAAATTAACCTGTTTAGTAAAATAAACTCTATTTTAAAAAAACACTTTTTACGTGTTTAAAAATATATATATTAGAGGAAGCAGTGTGAAATCGAGAGGCCAAAACACATAGAGAAGGTGATCAAAGAGTGGTGCAATCCACTGTCCACCCCCAGCCAAAAGAGCAGCCCCACCCCTTCTCAGGGCTCCCCACCCTGATGGGAGAACCCAGTCATATCTCTGCTGGGTGATATTCCCGCTCACCACCTTAAGAATTCAAGGGTTTAGTCCTTTCAGCCAAATCAGCCCATCACAGGTGATCTTGCTTGTTACTTCCCTTCTCTGAACCTCAGTTTCTTCATCGATAAAATGAACAGGTTGAACCAGATGATGCTGTTGATGGTTGCCATGAGTGATT